AATATATTGTCATCATCTTCACAAGCTCCACTTTAACATCAACAAGATTTCATGATTTCTAAAAGGAATACCCTTCATGCTCACTATATCCCTAAATTTCTGGACAGTTGCGAACCATTGTTAAGTAGAAATTTTCTTCTTTCAGTTCTAGAATTCTGGTCATTCTCTCATCCCTGCTGCCGGAGAGAGGCAGCTTCTGAACTGCTCACCTTCAGAGCAGTGATACAGGCCGTCTTGAAGTTGTTGCTGATGCTGGTCAGGAGAGGCTCACGACACGTGATCATCGCCATGCCAGCCGTCAGGTTACGCACCATGTGGTGGGCGGCGATGCGCATGCGGTTCTCTTCGGGATCCAAGGCAAAGTCCTGGCAGGACAGAAAGAGAGAGAGAAGGATTGATCGTAAAAATGTCAACATGCTCTGCAAAGGGGTTAACGGATATAACTGACAACTGATGGTTCTTCACATGAGAACTGCTTCACCTTAAGAGACTATTAGGGCCACTCTTGGTATCTAAGTAACCAATTTTGGCAATTTGTGGGCAAATTTTAGAATAAAAACTAGGCTGCATGAATACTAAATCAGATTTCACGTTTGTGTCCAAAGCGAGTTGGGTGAGACAGACTTGGCAATTTGAATGTATCTATCAAGCGTGACCTTTGTCTTGTCTTTGAAACTTGTGTTAGGTCCCCATGCTCTACTTCAATAGGGTACCTGGTTCCCAAACTATCCTAAAATGTCCACTACAGATTGTCACTGACTACGAACTGAGTTGAATGCTGGTAATCAAGCACATAAATGTAACTCTTTAATAAAACTGACCCAATCAGACAAGTTGTGGTGTTATCTACTTTTCAATCTGCTTGACAAGTTTTGAAAGGGAAACCTCCTTGAGATTAATCACAACAAAATGAGTAAGATTCATGCTAAGACTTGACCAGCATTTAGAGATAAATGCAACCGGATGGGGTGGGGTGTGGGGAGAAGCCAACAGCACGACTTCAAACATGAAGTCTATTAGTTCCAAAAAAATCAAACGCCCCATCTCCACTCGTTACCTTTCTGACAATCTGTTCGCAAGTCGTCAGGGCAATCTTGATGGAGCGGTCCACCACGGGGTGGACTAGTTCCTGGACTGCTCTCTCCAGGATGGGCCGCACACAGCTGCGGAGCTGCGGATGCTGCTGAAACAGGGGTATCTGTTGAATCAAGAAAAAAAAAGAGAAAGAACCATGAATGGCAAACTCGTTTGAAGTTCACAAACAAACGAAGCAGACAAAATGTTCCAAATGCTCAATGCCTGCTCATCGACTGTATCTCACAGTCTGTGTGTCACATATCAATGTTTGATTTGGAAAGGGTGTGGAAAATAGTGGCTCTATCCAATTGAGCAACGGACTGACGTAAACTGTAAAAATGTACATTTTTGCTTAGATTAATTTCCAGTCTATTGGGTTTCACATGGTCAGGCACAGGAAATCAACAGATGGCTTTAGGGAAGAGGTATTAGTAGGCGATCAATGAGTGTGAAGGACTACCGGACATTTGGGAAATTTAGTCGTTTCCTTTTTGTCTTTTTTATCCAACTAATAAGCACTTTTGGTATGGTTTAATCAACAATCAAATTATATACTCCACTATACTTAGTTCAATGAAATATTAGACAGCAATCCTTCGCGAACCGGTTCCATCACAGAGAAAATCTTTCTTCCGTTTTCAGTGAACAGCAAACACACATACTGGTAATGTGCAGAACGACAAACGTCAAGTCTGACATTTCTTTCACTTCAGCGCTCACCTGCGCATTGATGGCAATGTGAGGAGCCACCCCAGACAGTGATGTTGTGTTCAGATCGTGGAAGCTGAACTGGGGCACGGGAGTGGCCGTCTGGGGTGTAGCGGGCGCACCCGAGGTCGGGACCACTGTTGGCGTGGTCACGGTGGACATGGCCGGAGTGGGCATGGTGTCCGTCACCAGGGAGGCCATGGAACCGGTGCTGGTGGGCACCGGCGTGCTGGTGTTGGGGGGCACACTGGCCTGCTGGGCTACAGGGACAGCCTTTGGCTCCTCAATCCCCTTCTTGGAACCTGAGAGCTTCTCCTTGAGATGCGCCAGGTTGGCATAATCCCTGAGATAGTTGCTCGGCTTGACATCCTGGCAACCACAAATTACAGTAAAGCAGAAATATTACGATGGAATCTTGACCCATTGTTAAGGTGGAAATCTCATTGCTTTTTCAAAACACAAACCAGCAATCTTTCAAAGAGAGGTAACATATTAAATAGTGCCAAAAAGGGCTAGACTTAAATATAGAACCCACAGATGAACATTTTGTATGGTTTATACATAAGTTGTTTTGAGGTGAAACCTTTCAAGTGTTCTCTTATAATCTTTTTTCTTGCATTCATTTGATGGAACTGAAAGTAAATAAACTAATAGATTGCAGTATTTATTGATTAACCCTAACCCCCTAGGGACCATTGAAATCCTGCATAACCTTGTTGGGTTAAGCATGGTTAGGATTAACCCTCCTTTGGTTTTACAGCACAAATGCCCACAGTCACTGGTGAGCATGTATTTTCTATATGGAACTCAAACATGCATAGGTTCAGTGTGTACACAGTAGATTGCCAGCACAAAATGACCCAGGGTCTTTTATGCAGTTCTCTTCACTGCATTTGGTTTACTGCACAATGATGCACATGAAACAGTGAAGCACAGTTGTTAGGCAGCACAAAAGTGCAATCTGATATTCCTGTGAGGGACATTTGGTGCAGTGCACAACACCACACAGCTGTGCTTCTTTGAGGTGTTTACCAAGTGACCCAAAGAGTGACTTCAGCATAGGAGGGTTAATAAGTAATCAGATGATCTGCATTATGGCTATCACCGCTCTGACCAAAATCCAATTTAAAGTCTGGATATACGTGATGAGATAAAATGATGACTAAGAGGTGCCTCTGTCACAATTCCTCTAGAAACTTGTGACTTAACTTGTGACTTGATCAGTGATGGTTGACTTGAATCAAGTCTACCTTTGCTAAAATGTCATGCACTGCGCCAAGTTTGAACTTACAAAAATCCCTCTAGGACAGCAGGTGGTCAAAAACACCCACAGAAAAAAACATAAACTCACAGCAATATCCAGGCCCATGTTCTTGCACAGCACCTCCACCTCAAACTTGAGATTGAGCTTGAGGTTGGGCTCCTGGTGGAGCTCCACCAGCACGCCCATGATGGCCATGGTCCAGGGGTTGGGTGGCTTGAAGACCCGGCTCTTGTGGCAGGATTCCATGACCTTTGCCACGAACGGCACCACGTAGAGCAGCTCTTGCTGGCCCAGGTGGTAGGCCTCCAGGATCAGGGACTTCAGGTCTAGGTCCTGGTCGAGTGGGGGGGGGGGAGAAGGGAGTACGATGCTCACAAGTCTAACAAACTACAGTAATAATGTGGCAGCGGTAGTGGATCTTCACTGGGAGCAATTCACAATTCAGTATAATATAGGCAAGTGCCGACAGACAAGTATTTCCAACGATTATCAAATATTTGAACATTTCTGTTTTGATTTGAACATTTGTAAAACCAACACAATGACATAAGAAGGGGAAAAACCTCAGCTTTCTTTGTCACAAAACTGCTTTGATAAGCTCCATATTAAAATGTTCTCCTTCTAAGTTACTGTAATGAATAAAATGTGTTATTTCACTGGACTGGCCAATAATTTGCCATAAATGTTCAATCAAATCTCAGGTCCAGCATCAACAATCAACTATTTGAACTGACTAAGCCCTACTGTATGATTTTTTTTAAAAGTTAGATCTAACACTTTGTATCAGCAAAACTGTCCAAATAGGATTTATCTCCAATTTGGTTGAATTCCTATAGCTTCTAAGTTACTGTAATGAATAAAATGTGTTATTTCACTGGACTGACCAATAATTTGCCATAAATGTTCAATCAAATCTCAGGTCCAGCATCAACTATCGACTATTTGAACTGACTAAGCCCTACTGTATGATTTTTCTTAAAAGTTAGATCTAACACTTTGTATCAGCAAAACTGTCCAAATAGGATTTATCTCCAATTTGGTTGAATTCTTATAGAACTGCTTAGGATGTTCCGCTGAGAAGACAAGGAGACAAATTGTTCCATTTTGGATCTCACATCATTCAGATGTTCCTGTCTGGGAATACTCGCCTAAACACATGAGCACCAATTTACATGTAGCCTTTTTAAGCTTGGCACACATTGGAAACACTTCTTGTTCTCAGTGGAACATTCTAGAAGGAATGTCCGACAGAAGGAAACCTCAAGGAATTCTTACGATTTGTAAGATGGGCTTGTTCTTGGCCAGCGTCAGCATCCCCAGCCAGTGGCCCAAATTCTTCAGGAGGGTACGGTCGGAGAAGTTGGCATCACTCTTGTCCGAGCTGAGCAAGACCTACAGAGGCGGCAAGAATTCAGCTTAGTGACTTAAATTGTCTACATCTAACACTTACGGGGCACAGATGAAAGAAGCTGTCAACCTGAAAATTTCCATGAATGAAAAGAAAGAGGATACAATTTCAATGCAGATTCAAGTATGTTCTAAACAAGAACATCAGACACCTGACTAATTGTTTCCTATGAGGGTACCCAAAACAATGATATCCTTTCACACAAATTAGTATAAACCAAATTATGCACCAGACTCGACAGAACACTGTGGTTCAGTGACCAAGACCACAGTTCACTTCAGTGACTTCAGTGCTTAAAACCACACAAAAAAGAGAACTGCAACCTTGGTCATTACACAACAGTAATTGATGTTCCTGATGCAGACAATGGACAGATGTTCCTAGTTTTTTGGCAAGCCCCAATTCACAAAGCCAAGGCCTGAAGACAGAGCTGGAGACAAAACCAAACTACGAGAAACGGCCAAAATGTTCCCATGGAGAAGATACCAGACTCAACTATCCCTTTGTTATAAGTACCCATAAGAGGGAACACCAGGCACCAGACTCACCTCGATGTTCCTCAGTGTCTCCTTGATCAAGAGGTCATTCAAGTTTCCCTTCTTGAGCTGGTCCACAAAGTTGGAGTAGAGGGGGTGGAAGTTCATTTCGATGCTGGCCCGCTTCATGACCATGTACTGGGACAGCCACTCGAGGTAGTCCTCCGTGATCAGTTCCTTCAACTCCTCACACTAAAACCGAAGCAGAAAAAAAAAAAATCAAGACCACAATAATCAATACAAGTGAACGTCTTGAAGTAAAACTTTAGTGAGAATTCTTTTGGAATTTGTAAGACTCCATATTGACGTTGCCGACTCCTTAACCGGTTAAGAGGGCAAGCATGATAGGGCTGGGGTTTCACTCGGGCAACATTTAAACAGTTCGTTGACACACCCACCTTCTGTGGTTGGTTGGACTGGGAGAGATTGTTGAAGATAAAAGCGACTTTGTCCTGCACACTCTCTGGAGGCTCATTAATAACCTCGTCCTTGGGTGTAGCCACCAAGAGGGTGTCGATGTTGGTTGTGTTGGCAATGGATGGCTGGAAAAGGGAGAAAAACTATGGTCATTTCAAATCATTTCATTTTATCACATTTACTAAAAAAGTTGTAAATCTTATCCTTTTATTATTTTTACTCATGTCCCTGAAGGCAAAAGTGAGACCAACAGCTTCGGCAAAATATTTTGCTTTTTTATATCAAGTGCTTGGATACCGAGAAAAGCTGTTGGCCCATAATCCTCACACAGAAATATTTGTCAACAAGCCACCACAGGTTTAAATGGACCATAGCAAGGAACGGGTGCATCACTGACTGAAACTCACTACACCAACCAAACCCTATTTCAAACAATTTGTGTTGTGTTTGCTCGAGCCGAGTTGCCTGAGACAAGTGTGACGTGGAACAATACTTTTGCTGAGTGGTTAATGACACAGAAGCTTCTGAAAACTACGCACAAAGAGAGACTTGCAATCCTCGGACATGAGACGGGTTTTCAAAGGTTGCGTTTCTCTGGAGCCCTGACTTACCGCTGTTGTGCCGGCCTTGGTAGCAGGCTTGGTGACCGCGGCGGTGGTTGTGGTGGGGGCCGTGCTGGTGGCGTTTGAGGTGGACAGCGTGGTGGCGACAACCGTGGCGGCCGTTGATGCTGTCGTGGCCGCCGTGCTGGAGGGTGTAGGGACGCGCTGAGGTGGATCTCTAGACATCACACCAAACTGGACATACTACAAAAGAAAACGTCAAGTTCCCAAACCACCGTTTCAGGCTGATCAGCTTTGATAAGAGTAACATGTCTTCTATTTAGTTAGAATCTACAGTGCAGTATTTTGGGAGAATAGGAAACTTCCTAAAAAAACGGCAAAGGAGTTTACTTGATCATCACAAGGCAACAATGCCAGAATAAATAAGGTATACTATTTATTGCATTCAATATAAGGAAGATTGAAGATTCTACAGACACAATGCTGTCAAGAGATGTAGGGGACCTACAAAACCACTTGGCGCTTGCAGGTTCACTGTAAACACAAATATCCACATATAGAGAGAGTTCACGGCACACCATAGGCCGATCCGGTGACAAGAATCAGGAGCCATTTCTGCGGTGTCCCCAAGCGCGTGAACAAAAGAGATGCACACTGAATGCCTCCTCATCAGCCAAGGGGAGTGCACTGCTAACCAAAATCAGCTGCTTGTCAAGCCTAGGAATGCGTGCCTGAGTTACGGGGACACCGCAGTAATGGCGTCATCGAATCGGTCAATTGGGTGCCGCTTGGCCAAGTTTAAATCAGTTAACATAATAAGCAGTTTTGTTTACAAGTACACATTGGTTTATGACTTTGGTGACAGTAAACGGATCTGGAGAAGAATAACATCTTTGAACGTAAGAGTACAGGGAATTTTCAAATTTTGGGTATATCTCCAACTTGGGCTTTGGGATCAAGTTTTGTACCTTAAATCGCCCATGATGAAACCATCCAACTCAAGGCAACTCCAGTTTCTGCTGAGGAAATGTCAAACTGGCAAATGCAAGACCAGACTTTGGGGCATTATCCAAAAATGATGCTGGACTTGCTTTAAAGCTCAAGTTAAAGAAAGAGCCGAGTACTGGTAAATCAGCCACTGGTCTCGGACTCACCTCCGTCAGGTGTTGCGGGAATTCCCCAAAGTGAGGAATTGCGGAGAGATGCTGGCAGTACTGGGGATAGTCCTTCAGGCGCGTCTTGAATTTATCCAGCGCTGCAATGCCGAAGTAGTACATCTTGCTGCCGTGGGGCTTACGTAGAGCCTCTAGGACGTAGCGAAGGGCGATACCTAGGGCCATGTACCTGCCACGGTTCCAAAATTAAACTGTGCTCAGGCATATTTTCATAAGAGGGCACCATTCCAACACTTGGAAACGACGTAAACAACACAGAATAACAAATACCTTGTTCCTAGCACACATTTTTAGTATAAGGCGACATGGAAATGTTATGGCTGCTGTTGAAACTAACATGGATGCCTAAGGAAGTCACTAGCTAGCGGCTTAAGCTACGTCCTGTAGGTGAGTACACAAGTCGTAGCCTCAGCCAGTTGATTTGAACATAGCCTCAGATACAAAGAGTCAACTAGTAATGACTACTGGAACGCTCAAACTCTCTCTTACAAATTTGGGCACATTTAAGGGAATCTGGACTCACGTCACTAGTCCCTGCTCAATGATGCCGCCAAAGAGACAAGCCGTGATGAGAAGCTCTCTCTCTGGATACTGGGGGAAGAACTTGTACTCCTCAAAAAGGTTACGCAGCATGCACATGAAGACCTCCTGCAACAGAAACATATCGAACAAAGCCCGACACACCTTAGCACACCATTTACTTCCACTGAGTTCCATTCTTGTAATAGCTAGAGGCAGGTGGAAGGAAAGATACATTCTGCCCAAAATTTCCTTTCCAATGTCCAACTGTGAATGGACATCTTCAACATACTGACACCCGAGCTTTGCACATCCACAAAGCTTTCGCCCGTTGGACAAACAGGTGCGATCGTCAGTACTTCAAAATCGCCAACAGAGACCAAGTACCTTTCCCTATAAGCAGTCCAAAAATGTCAACGCTTTGACGGCCTGCAAGATCGGGACATATCCAAATTTGGCAGACCTGGTGTCAAAGATTGCACAACTCACTGTTTCACAAAATCATCGAGGTTAAGCATTAAAAAAAGATTTTAAAAGAAGTGGCGTAATCCCCAGAAGTACAAATAAAGGCAGGTTCATCCCCATTCATTCCACCTCCCATAACAAGTACAACTTCACAAATTCCCCACGCGATCAAAATCACGTCTTGGACTACACATTCTAGTCGAGCTGTTCCCGGCACCCACCCTCTCCTTCTTGACTTGTGAGTCCTTGAATCGTTTCAGCATCTGCAGGACCTCGTCCACCGACATGACGGGATTGGGCGGCTGGTTGTAGATCTGCTGGAAGTAGCCGTTGGCCTCGTCGTCGATTTCCTGTGCAAAGGTCTGGCTCAGCTCAGGCCAGATGTTGGAGATGTCACCTGGACAGGAAACGAGAGGGGGAAAATGTGACAAATAAAAAGGAAACACAAGATTTCCTTGTTGCATTGCAAACCCTTCATCTTACAAATGGGGAACATAAGGCTCTGTGCAGTGGAAATTGAAGTGCATGGAAGGTGTGACAGGATGAATATGCAATGAAGGATTTGGGGGGATTTTAGAAATTTCTAAGCAAAAATGTCAGTGGAATTTTAAATAAAAAAATAATAACATTACACTTTTATCCCAAATCATACATCAGTTTGTCAAAATTGACGGAAAGGTGAAATTTATTTTTACTTTTTTTTATGTGGCAGGGCAGGTTTATACCTCCTTGTTAAAAGTTCGAATGACCAAAACCAAGGTAGTCATCTGAAACTAACCTGGTTTGATGGCACCAGTGTTGGACTTGGCTGGCTGGTTGATGGCAGGTTGGGTCTGGTTCCCAAACCCTGATCCGGGCGTACTGCTACCTGCTTGCCTGCCGAAGGGGTCCCCTGCTACAGATGGAAGGGTACTGTTTCCTCGAAGTTCTGTCATTGACGGACAAAAGGGATTTTGTGCTAATGTTTCATGGCATCGGATCTGCTTCATGTTTGCTTTCAAGCATGTATCTGCGTTCAGAGTATATTAATGATCAATAAAAATGTAACATTTAAGATCACATTACAACATCTATATCACTCTGACAACATTTTACAACAGCTTTGCATTAACCATCAAGTCCCTTCGCAAATGATGCAGAAATGACCCCTTGAGATCAGTGCTAAGTCTTACCATGTGGGTTTGATTGGATGTTGGTGCCTCCACTCAAACCTCCAAGACCACCTCCTAGTCCACCACTGAGACCACTACCCAGCCCACCTCCTAACGTTCCCCCTAGTCCACTGCTTAAGCCGCCACTCAGGCCGCTCCCAAACCCGCTCCCTAGGCTCCCACCCAGGCCTCCTCCAAGCCCACCAGAGCCCAACCCCCCACCGAGTCCCCCGCCAAGCCCGCTCCCCAAGGAGCTCCCAAACCCTCCACCAAGACCCGAGCCCGAGCTGGATCCGAAGCCACCGGCCGAGCTTCCCCCAAAGCTGCCGCCCAGGCTGGAACCACTGCCAAACCCTCCGGTGGAGTTGCTGCCGAACCCGCTCCCAAGACTGCCCCCAAGGCTGCTCCCGGAGCCCGCGCCCAGCCCATTGGCACTTAAGCCCCCTCCGAATCCCGAGGAGCCCAGACCCCCTGACCCCAACCCTCCACCCAGACTGCTGGACCCTAGACTCCCGCTACCAAGGGCACTTCCACCCAGTGAGCTGCCGCCCATTGTCCCCCCAGTCAAGGGAGGGAACGGCTTCTGAGAGCCAGCTGCAGCAGCCGCTGACTGGATGTTACCGAAGGCGGAGCTGAGAGGATTGTTTGGGAAGTTGTGGATTCCAGGAGTGGTCGGTGTCGTGTTGCCAAGTCCAGACATGCCACCCATTGCCTCCATCTATGAACAACACAGAACAAAGTTAAAAAGCCCACAACTTAACCTACCTACCTACCCCTTTTTCAAATGCTATGGCACTGCCAATACAGTTTATAAAGTCAGACATCAACACTGATCGTTAAGAGCTCTCTCAACAACTCTTATTCTTCATGACAAATCCATGCAAATTGCCACAGAGCACATGCCACGTACAGAGTGCATTCTTGATCTATACATTAATTACATATACAGTACTCATAAACTTCTTAAGAGGGCCAAAATTTATCCTGAACAAAAATTCAGTCACTTCTTAATCAAATTTTAAAAGGCCATCTCTCTGAAACCAGTTCCTCAAAAACCCGACCTTCTTCTGAGACAGAGCTCTGAACAAAAATGACATCCCTCTTACAAATCAAACCAATCAATCAACCAAAAGGGAAGCTGGCGCCGTGCTAACCTGAGGTCCTATGCCAGGGGAGAGTGACGAGATGCCAACCTGGGACTTGATGACGCCCGGCGGTGGCCTGGACTTGAGGAGATTGGAGCAGTTGGCTACCATGGTCATGATGGTATCGGCTAGCTCAGGGGCAACCGAACTATCAGGGGCAAGCAATAAACCAAAGCATCATGACTAACAGCCATTAACATCTTTACACAATTAATGCAAAATTTAGTACTCTTTTCTGCTGATGACACAGTTTCGAACTCAATAACAATGACAAGTCTGAATTTTGAAAGTGAGATACATCCGATTGTAACTTGTGTCACAAGAGACCTCCACTGTTGCCATGATGTGTTACACTTTGAAATGTTGCTTGTTCTAAAATGAGTTATATGAGAATAAGGGCTTTAAAGATCATCAGGACAATTAAACTACATCAAAAGTGATTTAAAAAACTAAAAAACTGTGAACAGACGAATCAAAGCAAGCCTTTGTGTAGTGATAGAGAAAGTAATCACAGTTTACATGAAGCCTGGCCCTAAACACCTCTGATTACTTTTAATCCGACAGGCTGATGTACGTATTAACATATTCTGCTTTTTATTTCAAAGGGGAACATTGCAAAAGCTTTGCTCCTGAAAAGCAATTAACCACTTCCTGCCGGGGACTCCGGATCTGGACACGTATGCTTTATATGCGTGGCCAGGGTCTCCGAACTCGGACAAAGGGAACAGGGCCTTGTAACAAAAGACCGTACTCCGAACAAAAGACCAGGCTGCTGGGAATTACCGACATTTTTTCACTCTCAAAAGTAATCCAGCCTTGTTTTGAAACCGTATATCACAGTTTGGGGCATTGAGAGCGAGCGGATTACCACCAGGAACAAAAGCGCTCCACCACCACAGCGATGAGCCACACAGCACTGCTGCATGCTAATCTGGCCCCTATTGAAAAGAGGTCAGCAGTGCACTGAGCCAGGTTCGTGAACAAAAGAATATTAGGCTACACCACACAATCTGGCCTTTTTACAAGGCAGCAGGACTGGCTGATATACTCAGGCGTCAATAGATTTTGTCTGTCTGGCTAGAATGGACACCAGACATGCCTTCACGTGTTTGTAAGTGTCCAGTAGTGAAGAAAAGGAATTTTTAAAGAATTTTGAAAAACGGGAAAAAAAATGATAAATATCCCACCCCATCATCATCAACATTGACATATTCCCCGGCAGGAAGCGGTTAACCTGTTAACTGGTTATTAAGCACAACAGTTTTTGTCTCTGCACCTTGCGCAGGCTTGCAGACAGGCCAGCATGGTGCCTATGGTCTCTGGAGGCAGGACGCCCGTCTTGCCTCCCCCTGGTAGTTCCTTGGGCTCTGGGGCCAGGCCGCCTATCACCTGGGGGGCGCGGCGCTTCAGGAATGTCACGCAGGTCTGGACGAAGGGCTCCTAAACAAGAAGCACATGAAAGAGTGGGGGGGGGTTGTTACTTCAGCGGTAAAATCTACCAAACCCGTCAAAGCTTAAGATTCACAATAGGACCTACAACAGAAAGCTATGCTCGGATCGATTTATGGTTGATGGAATGACTCGTTTCATCAAAAATCATCTTAAAGGAAGTGGAGATCTCCATAATTTCATAACAATGAGAGGAACTGTACATATTTTCTATGTGAATAAATAGTTATCACATATTCAGTGAAAAGCGAATGGCCTTTCCTTGCAAAATGTTTCAAAATATCGAAATGGTAGACAATTTGCATCGCGGACAACTGGACTGGCAAGGTGAGCTTTCAAGTGTGTAATGTTCTCAAGCTATTTTCAGTTTTCAAATTCCCTCTCCCATAACATATGTCAAGTTGTGAGTTCATTTACCTTCAGTGATTTAATTTTCAGATTTAAATATTGTTTCACTGCTCTCCTTAAAAATGCTCTGACAAGACAATTATAGTGCTACCCTGACCCAATTTCACCTGTATGTTACAATGCGTTGCCTGAAAGTTACGATGCACTCAACCCATCATAAGTTGCTTGAAACCGTCCACAGAAACCATCATTAGTTATGTCATCTATCGTATGTTGACATTTGATAAATCAAAGTAATTCCTACAACTGATCACGGCCAAGTTTGGGGGATTTTCAAGTTTCGGTACATTTTGCAAGAGCTGAGACAGTCAGGGGTCGACCTGAGAGAGACTCACCCCGTGCTCCCTGATCTTGTCCGTCATCCACTTGTCAAGCTTCAGGTACTCCCGCCTGGACGCCAGGCAGGCCAGGTCAATGACAAAGGCAAAGGGTGTGGCGTTGAGGAGCAGAGACAGAGCCTTGAGGTCCTGGGCCACGTCCAGGATGCGGGAGAGACGAGTCTGGTCGTTCTCCCCTCGCATGTACCACTCCGCCATGGAGTGCATCACAATCTGACGGATGGTCACCGACTGACCCTGCATCAGGAATCAGACAAATGTCGTACGTTTAAAAATCTTCTGACACCATATCTTAAACGGCTTGCTGGGCTCTCCACCGCTTTATTTGATTTTTTTAACGGTTTCCAGTGGTGAGAGCTGAGATGTTCACAAGTTTGTCTTTTCCTCAACCACTGTTGCACAATCTTCCAAACTGCCTGAGGAAACGCAGGTCTAGTACTGTAACTTTGTCTGCATGTTTTCCGAGGAATACCTTGACAGCATTTTAAATCACTCCAAAGTCCAAATTTATCAGACAGCAGTTAAGTATTGTCTGTAATTAAAAAATCAATGGAATTACAGTAACGGCCAATGAGCTAGTTTGGTATTCCACGCAAAAAGAAGCACATCTGAGGTCATTCAGGGAACAGTAATATGCATATCTGAGGTCTGCTCTCTCAGTGCAGCCAAACACCAACTCGTACATCTGCTTTATTCTCCAATGACCTCGGCCCTTTTGAAATACTGAACTGGCTCAATGAGTGAGAGAGGAAATTCCCACCTGTCCATGCCATGCGTAGTGCAGCACGATGCCAGAGTTGGGATGATTACCAAGGAAGATGGGCATTAAGGTGGAGATGAGCTCATGTCGCAGTGTTGTCCACATTGGCTGAAATGTAAATAAAAAAAAATTTCCAAAAATCAAAAACACAAACTTTCTTTACAAATAGAACATTACAATCTTTCAGATAAAAGTCGAGAAATTAACATTGAAACAACTGGAACAACAAAATAAGCATAGCGTAAGAAAAAAACTGAAGCACAATTTTAAAATTACTGCAACATGAACAAAAAGGAATTGAACAGACAAAAAATTGCAGAAGTTGAGAACATCTGCAAAAATAACGAGGTAATGTGAGTAAGACTGACATTTGAAGCAGAACTGTACAGACAGCTGTGTAACACTTTCCATCAAACATAACACGTACGTGAGGATACATTTAACAAACAATTTTGTTTAACAAATCAAAACTGTTAAGAAAGATACAAAATCCCAATCATGAATAAAGCAAATAAGATTGATGATTACATGACCAAGAATTCAGTCACAAACCCCAAAAACATACACAAAGACTAATAATAGAAAAAGCAAGTAATGGTGTAATATAATACTTTTAAATCATGATTTCAAGGTTACTGTTGTGGCACAGTATGCCATCTTTTAAAATTAATCAAAGTCAAAATAGAACTTCAAAATGAACACGGGAAAATGTAATGTCAATCTCAACTATCCCTGAACACTCCCAAATCCAACAACTTGTTTTACGCCACTTTGAAGAACTATGCGATACAGGTCAGAGTCTGTGTAAATTCACAGGGCCGTTAAGATGAAGAACATGACAATGGGCCTAGTGAAAAACAGATTTGTTAATTTTCTGAACCCTGAATCCTTCATTGAAGCTGCATCTCTTGCTTTAATTCCTGCAAAGACTTCTTATTTTTCAGTAATATCTTTGTTACTTTTTGTCTTGGCGACAATGCATGTAAAGTTGAGAATGTTTGTTTCAGGTGAAATGCAATAGAACATCTGTGCATTATTGCACTGTCATCCACGTTGAATGTTTCATATACATGAAGCCATCTTGCCCCCGCCCCCAAAAATTAAAGACCTGGCTCCGGATCTTTTTGAAGAAATCAACTGATGTATTTCTTTACTCGGCCCTTGGCATTATTGGATTTGGGTTGATTCGGGGGGATACCTATTAAAAGTTTGCCCCGGGTCAAGTTTGTTAAAATGGAAGAGAAAGGCTGTTTCCAGCAAACAGGTGACAAGTTGACTCAGTCATATCTGATACCTGCTGGCACATCTGTTGACGGCACCATTTATCCTGTGCGCTAGCCTTCATCCGCGCTGCCGTAGCTAGAATGTGCTGCATGAGCTCATGTTCCAGTTTCTTCTGAAGTTCCACAGATGTGTTCAAATACGTTCAGACAGTTCAGTTTTTAACATTTGCACATCCTTGGCGATGAGCTTAACCCAACTTTAATACAGGACGTGACCACTTACCACAAATCATGAACAACTCATTAACACATATCCACAAACAAAATTTCCACAAACAAAATTGTGTAGATTGAATCAGTGGAGTGCAGCTGCGCAGCTGATACCGAAAAGCTGTCATTCTCACAAAGAGAAAGTTAGTTATGTATTGTGGGTTTTACAGACATTACACATACTGTGGGCACCGTTCGTGCTCAAATCAAATGACTCCAAGACCAACACTAATACCAACGTCAGTGCATCAAGTGTTCAAAGGTCACGACCCGCACGTACCTGAACTTGTAGGAGTCCAAGGAGCAGCATGTCGGGACAATGTTTGATGGGAAAGTTGAAGAGATTCTTGACCTGATCGTACTTGCCAGCCTCGGCCAGCTTCAGTAGGGTCTCGACGAGATCCAGCGACTTCCTGCAATCACATCAAATGAGGAAAGGAACAATTCATCTTGTTCAAAATACTTCAATATTTGTCAGACAGGAATGCACTACGCTTGCCGCACAGACACCACAACAGTGGTACGCTGCCGCTTACTCCAAGGAATGTTTCGGTGAAGGAGCATCTTTAACTCATTTCATTTGGGGTCTCTTCGTGACTGCCATCCCCGACAACAAAGAAAAGCGAGAGAACCTTTTTCCCCAAAACTTATTTGTCAAAATAAGTTGCACGTTGCCATAGCAACACCTGGGGTAACAGCCTTGAAAAGCATCCTGCACAACGTCAATGAGAAATCTCAACACGTTCCATCTGCACAATGTCCATGTGCAACCGAATGCCATATTGAGTGACACACTGAAGCAAAGGGCAAGTTTGCTCTTCCTTGCGAAAACCCACAACTGAGCAAGTTTCCTTTTGGAGGAGCTGGCCACGTTTGTGTTGAACATTTAATCCAGGAAATGCCTTTAACAGTTGTTAAACCTGCGTCTGGGAGAACATCCTCACCATGTTGCCACCTCTCTGTTGTCTTCTTCCGGCTGCGCTTTCAGGATGTCGATGACCACTTGGTGGCAAGGATAGTCGGCAAAGCAGAAGACGTCCGGATTGGCCAAGGCCAGTTGAATCCAAGACAGCTGTTGGGGTCCAGAGATGCCATCATTGGTTAGAATGGAGAAAAATTCAAATGCAACAGGTGCAAAAGTTCAACACGTGCAAAACTCTGGCACACTTTGTAGTACCAGACAATTAATTGATTGACAAGACCCAAAGTCATTTTTTTTTGGAGACAATAGGGGAGTCCAGGTAAGTAATGCTGTGGTGGCTAGTAACAACAGAGCGAGCTACTCGTGTTAACACAAGTATACTCGTGAGCACTCGAACGGCTGGAGTACGACCCGCGGGAAAGGAAGAGTATACTCTCGCTAGAGGGGGAGCATACTCCTACACCCAAGTGTAATGCGCATGCAACCTACTCGTGTTAACAGGAGTAACTGCGCGACACACCCCAAGGATCATTTGGTCTTGGGGACAGCGGACTTGCTACACTCTGCAGGCAAGTCACTGCAATATATGATCGCAATTAATGTATCCAAGAGGGCTTCTAGCCAAAACACCCTGAAGGGTTTTAATTACAGCTACGGTAGAAAGCTTTCTGAAGTATATGGAATACCCAAGTAAACTACACGTCAATGTATAGCCCGTCGTTATTTTTCACCACTTGCAGATGGTATCATTCCACAAAAAATAGCCCGGGTTGGTACTGTATTCGGCCAAACTACTGACTTTTTAAAAAAATGACTAGATATCTCAATGGCTGTCCATTACAGAGTTGGACTTACAAATGCTGACACTAGGAGGTCATTTTTTACCACAGAATCGTATTTTTTTTTTAAACTCAGACGCTCATCAGAGGCTATGGAGCTATGTTTGCTACAACACCTGTCCAGCATCCATGGTCATTTGAAGGTTTCACACACATTCAACCTCCATAGACTACTTTGCGCCTAGGTGTGTGTACAAACTCTACAAGAATTAGTTATTCCGAGGGCCGAGTGCAGACATCACCCAGCGCTGCAAAGCGAATTTGCAAGAACGCGTTTAAAGGTCCTCCACGCCACAACACAGGAAACCCCCGAGTGTTTACACATCATCCGGCGTGAAGTGATTAACGCCTGTAACGTCTCGTTACCTGTCCATCCGTGTTCTTCCACACCCTGTACAGCGCGTCGATGGGGGACGCCTCCTTCAGTCCCTGCAGTCCTCGGAGGAGCGCATTCTTGACCAGGCGCAGGCCCTGGGCGTCCTTCAGAACGAAGCCCGGGTGGTCCAGCTCGAAGAGCACCTCCCGGAAGTTCAGGTGTGGGGCCAGGTCCTTGACCACCTCTACAAAGACATCCACGTTCCAGGTGGTGGGGACTAGGGGCTGGACGCCAGGCTCTGCCTTGTCCTTGCCTTCGCTCCAGACGCTGTTGCCTGTGATGGCCTGTGCGCAAGATAAAAACTCAGCATCTCCACTTCCAATACAATAAACCCCAACACACAGGCATTCTTTTTGGCTACGGATTTTTCTGAGTTCATTATACACTCCACTGTGCAGGAAACCAAAGGCGCATTCTTTATTGTACACCCTAAGAGAATATCAAGTCTCATACTTGTTTGTCCAGTCCGCTTGTCATTTTGCCTTTGAGAAATATTCTGCTAGGATCAAAACGTCAGCCCCCCCCATATTTTGAGAAGTCTCATACAAAAGACTTCTCGCCTAGAATGCCTTCTTCATAGGAAAATTCCAATTTCGTATTCAATGCCATCGGGTACGCGCACATGCGGTGTGCTACAATGCTGTGCACACGCGCGCATGCTGATCCAAGTATCTTCCAATCATGGTGTAAGCGATTCGTGTCATGAAAATTTGACGTCCCAACTGCAGTGCGGATGCACATGGCGATCTGTAAGAGGTAACGTCATTTCTACTTGTTGATTCTCCCGAACTGAAACATGACAATAATCAAATTTCTGATCGTAAAAAAAAATAAGCTACTTCCTGTAAACAAACTAATTCCTAATACCTACACATGAACTGATTCCTGTAAATCCCAGATTTTGTATTCAAATAGATTTAAATTTGAATTGTAATCAAATTTATCAATTTAATTAATTAATCTGTAATCACTTAAATCAGGCAGAAGTTGTGAGACAGGTGCAGCAACACCAACTCTAACTGCATTATCTCACAGTGTAATGAAACCAGTCTCCCTCTATCACCCATGGAGCATTCTACGTTCCCTTGGCTTTGCCTCAGGTAAAAATAAAAGTTTTCGTGACCCTTGTCAAAGCAGTCAACATTTCTCTCTGTTTGCGTGCAAGGCCTGTGAGTCTCCTAAGACCTCCAACTCACCTGTAGGGGCATGTTTTCTGTCAGGCCCGTGTGCGACTTGGCCATCATGCCGATGACGCGGGCCACTGCTGAGGCAGTCAGGCTGCCAACACCATACTGGACCAGGGTCTTGCGGCACTCGTCCATGGTGGCGCAGCAGCTGTAGCCGATCTCCTGCATCATGTCGGCCAGGGAGATGTCCATCTTTAAAAGGAATAGCCGAGCATCAGACAGCAGGAACAAAAGGGTTAAAGCTCTCGAGTCACACAAGACTAAAATCATCAAGGTTCACTTGGTCTGGCTACTAATATGTAGCAACTGCTTTGGTTGTCTTGGTAAATCTTTCAAAAGCTGCTTTAAACCAAGCAGTGACCTAAATATAGCAGACCTGCTAACATGCCATACTCCTTCCTGAGCTCAGGCATTACCACACAATAGATTAAAATTTTAAATAAACCGAAGGCTCATTTAAATACCTTTTAATCTACTGTGTGGTTATGCCTGACCTAAGGTTGGCAGGTCAGATACAGATGTGAAGTGCTCTCAATATGTGGAGTGCAAATTACTTTTCGAAATGCACCAGGTAACTTTGACATCTTTGCAACTTTTCAAGGGTTAACCACTTCGCGCCGGGCCCACATATTCATGTTGCTTTTCGTTGTGTACCGAGTATTTCTGCCAGGCCTGCCGCCTTGTAAAAAGAGCCTAGATTGTGCAGTGTTATGTAATTTTCTTTTGTTCCCAAAAATGGCACAGTATGCCCCTGACATGTTTTCAATAGGGGCAAGATTTGCATGCAGCGGTATCCACCTTGAGCAGAAGTGCACCCCCAAGCAGCAAAAGAAAGAGAGATGGTTGTAAGTTTTCCAAGCAGGTTCTTGCTTGCGTTCTGTGTGTACGCAAAGACCATACATTAACCATAACCCTACATAATACTACAAATTACTACTTGTAGCAAAATGTAGTAATCAGTGCTGCCGCTTGTAAGAGGACATGACCGCATTGTTCTCTGAAGCCATAAAATACAATAGATAAGACAGTGCTGTGGCACTATGAATGCACAACTTTATTGTTCTCTGTACAAGTAACAATGCAAGTAACCTGGCCAGAAGTAGTAATCTGTAGCGCTAGGACCTTCGGGCTAAGGCTACTACTTAATATTTTGTAGTAGTGAGTACTGTAAGCCAAACAATATGCTTGGCGGTTAGGGTTAAGGAATAAATTTGTTAACGCACCATTGACCTCCATTATAAACGCGTGCCTATGCGGTGAGTACCAAAAAACCACGCCCCCTTTCGTTCCGCTCGGAGCGGATTATATCGCTCATCACTGGAGTGCTAGAGCGCTTTTGTCCCCGGTGGTAATCTGCTCGCACTGAATGCCACAAACAGTGGTACAATCTTTCAAAACGATGACAGATTTTCCTCTGCCATTGACAACTGAAAAAATGTTGGCAATTCCCAGCAGCTCAGTCTTTTGTTCCGAGTACGGTCTTTTGTTGCAAGGCCCAGCTCTTTTGTCCGGCTTCGTGCATAAAGCCTATGTCCTCGAAACCGGGTACCCCGGCACCAAATGGTTAAAGTCTCACACGCTTCAAGGTATTGGAACAATAGTTTTTCTTTCTGTAACATTCACAGTGAAGTTGGTCATATGACCTCATTTCCTCAAAGTCAACAGAGGGCTCTCTGTACATAATTAGTTAACCCCTGTACTCTAAAAAATGGCCAATGGGTAACTACAGAAATGGGCAGGGCCCAAGTGCATTGAATTGCTACACAAGAAACATTGGCTTTACAGATTTCTGTACAAAGCACAAGTCAGGTGAGAATTCGCCACAAAAGGAGATCACATGATACTTAGCTAAAAACCTTGTCTTGTTGGCCAGATTTTCTCCATATGCAACAAATCACAACGCCCAAACTAGGTTAATGATAATGCCAATTATTTCAACTTTCACTTTTTTTGAAAACTTCATTCAGTTTATGAATTAATAACAATGTATTCATACATGGGTACAATGAGGATTATATTGCATGGGTGCTCACCACTCCTTTAGGCAGGTTGGTATTGTCGTTAACGATCCTATCCATCCTGATATCCTGCGTGTCACTGTACAGAAGGGGCACAAGGACCACAGGAACCTGGTCCGGAGGAAAGTCTGTAAGAAGAGAGGTTGTGGGGGAAACAAATAACATGAAAATGCAAAAAACGGCAGACCTTCACCACATTTCAATAAATCTGAAGCGACTCGGCCAACAAGTTACTTGAATCAGTTTCTCCACAGGAATCGGCTGACAATTAGGTCAGGAGTGATGCGCACAAGCCATAATTCAGGTATGACACCTGTTTTTGACCAGCACATTTTCTGCGCTCCATTGATGGGCTTACTGATTATTTGTCCGGGCCAAACTGGGGATATGTTGCACTGTTGAATTCAACAGGACTGTGTCCATTATGAGATCAGAAAAACCGGGTGCAGTGTATGGGTCAACATTGGAGGGTAAAGTAAAACACCAGGATATGTATGATAACAAGGGTTTCGTAAAATCTGTGTGATCTACATATGTAACTACTGTCACTGTGGCTACTAGAGCCCGAAGGCGGACTGCAAGTGAATGACATTGGCTAACACAGTGGCCTCCAATCTGCCACCCCCCCCCTTCCCTTTGCTTTACCCTTTGTGATTGTCTTGAGGAATGCTTCTCGTTGGGGTGGGGCAATGCCCAACTGGTCCTTAGAGCTGTGGAGCAGGTGGGTCAGCAGCAGGTGCAAGACCTCGGCAGAGACGTCCGCGAGACCGCCCTCCTGTGGGCTGCGTATGTCTGGTGAAGGGCAAATGTGAACAACACATCCCAAGCAACATCAAACTCCAATGACCAGAACTTGCTAGTGGGAATGTTGACTGTTTATCCATTGGTTCTTTTCAGAAATACCTCTCTACCTAAACAACCTTCTTGGAACAGACACAAACCCTTCAAAAGTTACTTCTCCATTACACAGAGCTCAAAATCTCATTTTTGGAGGATTTGGTGTTGACAAATGCCTTGTCAACACTGCCATGGGTTTCTGTACAGGGTGCCATGAAATTAAATGAGAACCCAAAGACTTCCCATTCCCAAACTACCTATTAACACATACCAATCGCAGTGTGCAAATCACTTTCAAATCTTGTGGCATTAAGCCGTGAATGCCACCTAAAACAGGCTGCTTTGTCTTTAGTAAACCAAGTTTAGTATGGAAGACACTCAAAATTGTTTTTTATGATTGCAATTATAACAGAAACATAAAAGTGCAATAAAGACCACTTTTAAAGTCAACACGAATATTTACGCCGTCAACTCACCACTATCTATGTACGACCGCAGTAAGTCTGGCAGTTTCTGCTTGACAAACTGCAAAGCTGTAAGAAACAGGAAATTACAACGAAAATCTTACATCATGCCGATCAAGTCACTAGAATCCAATCCATTCGAATGTTTGTGCTCAAATTGGGCCGGGCCCTTCTGCATCGAGCTTACAAATACTTGTGATTAATGCTCAACAGAAGGAAGACAAAATATGGGCTATGCACAATATACTGCTCGCCGCCAAGAGTTGGCCGTGGAGAGGCTAGTTTTCAACTCTAACACAAGTTTTGATATATCTGGGCATTCCATGCAATGGAAAGAAGAATGCCTCAATTAATATTTGACAGACAAACATCACAAGTCAAGTTCCCTGCGCGAAGCTGGCGAATAGAATTTGTCGACTGTAAGTGCTGCTGTCCAGTCTACCACAAGTCCCTGCAACTCCAACACAAGTCATTCTGCCTTCAGCAAAGTCACAAACTATTAGGGCTGTGCCAAATACCTGGATAACCGAATATTCGATCAATTATCGAATATTCGAATATTGTTTTCTTTTGTTTTAAATGAAAAAAATTGCACTATGACGGCTTGTTTCAAGTAGATTCAAATGAAAAGTGACAGAAATCTTATGATTCAAAATGTAAATTATTCATTAAACAAAAAAGGAATAGAAATTTTCAACAGGGCAAGAAGTATTATTCATCTCTTAAATCTTGCTAAATCGGGGCTGGAGTTACTCCTAGATGTGAGAAGCTATTATAGTGATTATAATGTACAATTGTGTGCATTATTGCAACTGACTTTGTATATGGTTTGTTCATCAACAATCTGCCAGTTGGTATGACCGAATATTTGGATATTTGATCGAGTTGAAGGTCGAATATTTGAAGAGTGAATTATTGGAATTGACTCAGCCCTACAAACTATTCAAATGAACCACAAAGAGAACACTCCTTCTGTCACTGTTTACCCGAAAAACTTAAGAATGGCCTTGTGAAAGGACTTGTGACTGGGCTTGCGACGAACCAACTTTTACACTGAAACCAATGAGTAGCACGCTAACGTCCATTCCACTAGGACCAGACAGACTCCCAGGCTGTATTTATCCAAGGGAAATTGAGAGAGTCGAAGATATTCTTTCTGACGAGTCACTTTGTCTCACCATGAGTTCGTGTGTCCGCCTTGGAGGAGTGGGTAAGGGCCAGGCCTAGGACAACTTCCTGGACACGGCTTAGCTTCAAGACCTTGCTGATCTGGGAAAATAGCTGTGCTGAAGGCTTGAGGCTCTGGTAAAATATTTTTTAACATGACAGTAACATGGCCGTGAATAAATGTACACTCGTCAGGCAGGCATGACAATGCATGAATATATACTTGGAAATGAGCCCCGATACTTGTGCTCAGAGATGAACCACAAAGTGCAAATGGTGAGCAGAGAATACTTATGAAAAATATAAACGAGAAAACCACTATGGAAATATTCATTTCATTCGGAAAAGAAACTTAACAAAACCATTTTGAGTATGACACTGTGGCAAGCTGTCTTTGAGCACTAAGTCATAACAACACTGCTCTGTACATGTCATATGACCAGATTAAGTCACTGGTGAGCCGACATAAATTTCCATAAACAATGCAAATATTTCTTGTTTCAATTTTTGCCAATATGGGTTCCGTGAGGCCCTGGGTGCTGCTACTGATTCCAATTCATCCAATGTAATACGTAACAATGAAAACATATAAAAAACAATGTGCTCTGAACAGAAAAGACCAATGCAACAATGCTCGTCAGCCCACGTTTGAATCCAACAGAAACCCAGATTAACTCAGCTGACATCACAGCTCAGCTCTCTCCTCTAAGTCAATCTGACAGAATGACGAGTAGATTATGACGACTGACAAACAACCAGTCGGACTCACCTTCTGCTGATGGAGGGGGTTGTCGAGGGCGTGGCACAGGGTACAAACAAAGTTGGGCTTGGCAAAGAGTGCGGTGCACTCCTGAGTGAGTAACTGAACGTGCAGCTACAAAAAACAAAACAAAAAAACAAAACGGGGAGGAAATAGATTATTAGATACTAGTAACCGGTCTGCTGTAACCTAAGGATAAGACAGCAAAACATCTGCAGAGAACATCCTGTGGAAAAAAAGCCACAGAGTTCAACAAGGAAACACCGCGGGAAAAGACACGTTGGAGTAACGATGTAATCCAGATGAACTTCTGAGCAATCTAGCACACAAACTGTTTTCATTTTTTAAACAGCAAACACAGCTGTTGTCAAGAAAAGAGTACAGTCAATGCATGAGAGCAGAGACTTACACAAACACTTTGGTATAAGACCCAAAGACACATTTAAAACCTGTATTTACTTTTACGTCCAAAATTAGGGGAAAACAGCAAACAGGCCAGCATGACAGACGTATCGATGGTGATTATGTCCTGGAAACACTTCAGTTTCAACTCCTAAACAAAAATATTGTAATTGATGTTTCTTCCAAAGGAGAAGAAAACTGCAACCTTCTTTTAACTTCCATCAGTAGGGATATGAGACTTGACACAGCCAGGTAAACTTGCTCAGAGATCTGAGATAGACTTGAGAAACTGACCAATCAAGTGTACAGAAATTACTGCCAACATCTTAGAACTGAAGAACTGGGTAGACTAGCATTACTACAAAAAGTCAATGACTGAAACAGACGTATCACATTCGAGTCTGGTTAGACTGCTTTTCAATTTAGCAAAGCTGCTAATCAGCTGATCTGACCCCAATTTGAGGCAACGTCAAACCCCTGTGTGACTAAGACGTTCCAATTAACAATTCTCAACTGCGGTGATGTGAGGGTATGACCATCTGAAAACCCGAGGGGATGCACAGTAGTGTTGAGCAATTCCAGCATTTTTGGAATCCATTCTGATTCCGTCCATTTCACTCGGAATCGATTCCAATTTTTACATGTGCGAATGCCATGTTGAGTATACCTGAGATTACATGCAAAATGCACTTGTAAGTTGTTTCCTAAACACTCGTGTCATTAAAAATTATCCCCTTTTATAGCATCGGAAACATGAAAGATTTATTATCATTACAGATTTTTAAATCAGAAATTTTAACTTGATGGAATCACATCATTTATGGAAAAAGATTATCAATCTACGTAGCCTGCCGGCTTTCAAGGTTTCCAGTTTATATAGAAGTGACCATGAGTTCTCAAATACGTATTTGACAAGAAAGAAATGTAAGTTATGTACATGTACCTTTATTTTCATGCCGCCAAAAACGTACTTGAATTTTTTTCCTCAAAGTCCCCAAAAAATGTGACCTTATTCCAACGACGATGAACTATGACAGTTTTCTCGATCTTTCGATTGTAAATTCCATCAAAACCTGGACTGCTCACCCGCTGCACAGCACCGCTTGCGTCGGCAGCATGTTTGTGCAATCGTTGGTGAACATGCCTAAAGCTACATTCTTCCTATGTGTATGCCTGCTACCAGCTTCAACATGAGGCCGTTAGTCTTGTTCCAAGGCAGAGATGGGAAATTTTGAGAATTGCTCATGTGACCTTCAATTCACTCAACAGGTTGAGTAGATTTTCCTTTCTTTATGAATGGTTCTCTTTCTTATGAATGGTTTAAGCTTAGTTGGCAAACCCTAGAAATGTTTGAGTTTAAATAACTTCGGATCGCCGATTTTGTCAAAGTTTGTGGGATTTGTGGAATTTTATCGAAAAACTGGCATCATGGGAATTTTCGTGATATCACACAATGCTGGCTGATGTAATGTCTGTGATACACAAGTATATCGCCCTGTCCCGTAATCATTCTGGCCCAATGAGAAAACAGTATTCAGGACAGAGGTACGACAAATTACTTCGTTTTAACAGGAACATAGTGCTATCAGGAAAATCTGGGAACCTAAAATTTCTGTGTTACGAGTACAACCTCATGTCCATTCTAAGCAGAACACCAGAAGTGTCAGCGCAGCTCTTGTCAACAGGATAGCCTGTACCCTTACTTCTGTCCCTCCAAAACCCCCCTTCTCGATGGGACATACCTGGTGGAATTCCTTGGTGGCGTTTTTACCATCACCGCTGAAGTCGACGTATGAGAAGAGGCAGCGCAGCAGATGCCTGTCCCCTTCGGGCCCCTGCTGGCTGACAAGCTGCAAGCAAGACAAAGCACAAATAGTTCCAACGTGTTTGGGCATCTCCGCACAACTTGAGATAATGAGCTTACTAGTTCACTGCTGACTGCGTAGCACGTAAGCAAACTTGTCATGTTTTGTCTCTAGTTTTCAATAAAGAATGCGGTATCACATTCTTTCAAATAAGCACTTCTGCTTATTCAACTCTGAATACGACAGATTTCAGCTTTCTTTTCATGTTATCAGTAATCATTAATTGAATGGGGCGGCTAGTCAGATAAGTGTTAAAATGTGTTTTGTGCATTGGTCTGTACCAACTGGCATTGATAAATTTTAAAATTCTAACTCCCAGATAAAACTTCCATAAATAAGAAAGGTGCTGCCTTCCACGAGTAAGTTTTGTACCAGGCAAAAGCACAGCACCTTCAAAAATGTTCTTTCAGTTCAAAAACCAATTCACATAATTAAACACAATAGCGATCCTTCCGTAACATTATTTAACGCACTCGAGGTTGGCCCCTTCAGGGCTGCTGTACACCAACTCACACCCTTTAGACATGTCCAAGCTGGCCTCATGTCATAGGCTTTGTTCTTAAATGAACTTGCCTTTCTGAAATACAAAACTGGCTCACTTATCCATACTGGGACACTTAGGTTGATGTGAAGCACAGGGGTACAAACAGTGGGAATCTTACATGTAAGTCTATACTCATTAGCCCATACAATAAAACACATGTATCAAAACAAACACATAAACAAAACAATGAACTACTTAACCCCTTGACGCCGGGACTTTTTTCTGAAAGCCGACTCTGAGAATTCCAGCCTCGCTTGGCCACGAAGGCCACCTGCCAAACC